GCCTGGCCAGGGGCTTTGGTTGTGGCTTTGGTTTCATCTGTGGGCTAGCAGTGGATTAAAGTAGGATGTTTTTAGTAGTTTTAATTGTCGGTTTTAGGTTGCTTTTAATTGGTGCATCTCATGCTTTACTATGATGTTGCCTGGGGAGCGCGTGGGCACCGCCATTGGGGTGGTGATGGGCAATGGACATTATGGCACTGGGGGTCTAACGGGTCTGCATAGAAGAAAGAGGGACAGATGGTTAACACCTGTCCCTCTTTCTGGTTATTCCCCCAGCTGGCGGGTTCCAGGTAGACTTGTCAACTGCCCCCTGGGCCTGTCGGTGCTGCTGCTTAATGCCAGGTCAGTCCAAAATAAGGCAACACTCATCCATGGTTTGATCATAGATGAGAGGGCCTACCTGGCTTGCATCACAGAGACCTGGGCGGGTGGGGGGGGGATGTTGCCCTCTCACAACTGTGCCCGCCTGGGTACCTGGTCCAGCACCGTCCACGCCTGGAGGGGAGGGGAGGGGGGTCGTTTTGGTTTATCGAGATTCTATTTCCCTTGTGGGGCTTCCTGTCCTCTCAAGGCCGGGGCTGGAGTGCCTCCACTTGGTGTTGGGTGACCGAGACAGATTGGGGATTCTGTTGGTGTACCGTGCACCCTTCTGCCCAAAGACTCCCTGCCTGAGCTGATGGAGATTGTCTCGGACCTGGTGTTGAAGACTCCCAGGATGTTAGTCCTGGGGGACTTCAATCTCCATGCCGAGACGGTTCTAACTGGGGTGGCTCAGGACTTCATGACCTCCATCGCGGCCATGGGGCTGTCTCAACACATCAGTGGCCCGACCCATGAATGTGGACACACTCTGGACCTGGTTTTCTCGACGGGGCAGGAAGAGGGTGATCTGAAGGTGAGGAATTTAAGTTTGATGCCCTTGTCATGGTCAGATCACTTCCTCATAAGGTTTGAGCTCGAGAGTGGCCTTTCCCTCTGTAAAGTGCGGACCAGATTGTATTGGTCCACCCCCAGAGCTGGATGGATCTTGATGGATTCCTGAAAGCTCTGGGGGATTTTCTGGTTGACAAGGCTGATGATCCTGTCGATGCCCTGGTTGAACTGTGAAATAGGGAGATGACCAGGGCTATTGACATGATCACTCCCAAGCGTCCTCTCCCACCTGACAGAGCCCATTTATCTCCTTGGTAGACATCTGAATTACGGGCAATGAAGCAGGTTGGGAGACGTCTAGAGCGTAGGTGGAGGAGATCATGGGGTGAATCTGACCGAACACAATTCAGAGCCCACTATCGGGCCTATGCTGTGGTGGTGAGGATGGCGAAGAAGAAATTCTTCTCCACTTCCATTGCCTCCTCACAATGCCATCCGGCGGAGCTCTTTCGGGTGGTGCAAAGGCTGAAACATAAAGATCTCATACCACCCTCAAAGGTCCGCTGTGAGGACTTTGCCAGGCATTTCAGGAGAAAATCGCTCAGATTCGTCATGAGCTTGACTCTACTATTGAATCAGATTCTACTGAGGAGAAGCCAACGATGCCGTCGAGTCCACAATTAATGGATGAATTTCAGTTGTTCCGGCCTGATGATGTGGACAAGGTGCTTGGACAAGTACGCTCTACCACCTGCTTACTAGACCCTTGCCCATCTTGGCTACTTAAGAAAGCCAAGGACGGGATTGGGACCTGGATCCTGGAGGTGGTCAATGCCTCTTTAAGAGACGGTCAGGTACCTTCCCCTTTAAAAGAGGCGGTAGTCTGGCCAGTCCCAAACAAGGCATCCCAGGATCCAGAGGTGGCCGCCAATTATACGCAGGTGGCCAACATCCCGTTCCTGGGCAAGGTGCTAGAGTGGGTGGTGGCGGGACAACTCCAAGCACTCTTGGATGAAATTGATTATCTGGACCCATTTCAGTCCGGCTTCATACCCGGGTACAGCACTGAATCTGCCTTGGTCACCTTATATGATGACCTGTGCAGGGAGAGAGACGGGGAGTGCATCCCTGTTAGTTCTCCTGGACCTCTCAGTGGCTTTCGATACCATCGACCATGGTATCCTTCTGAATAGGCTAGCGGGATTGGGAGTTGGAGGCACCGTGTGACGATGGTTCCACTCCTATCTCAACGGCCAATTTCAGAAGGTGGTGCTGGGGGACTATGGCTCTGCGCCATGGCAGTTATGCCCTGGAGTTCCGCAGGGGTCCATCTTGTCCCCCTTGCTATTCAACATCTACATGAAACCACTGGGAGAGGTCATTAGGAGGTGTGGGCCACGAAATCATCAGTTCGCTGATGATACCCAGCTCTATCTCTCGTTTTCCACCAATCCAGGTAAGGCAGTGGCTGTGCTGAACCGGTGCCTGGCCGAGGTAATGGGCTGGATGAGGGCCAATAAACTGAAGCTCAGTCCAGACAAGACGGAGGTCCTGTTGGTGGGTGGTCTGGGCCTCGGGATGGGGGACTTGGGCCTTGTCCTAAATGGGGTTGCACTCCCTCTGAGGTACAGGGTTCACAGCTTAGGAGTGCTCCTCGACTCTGAGCTGTCTCTAGAAGCTCAGGTGACGGCGGTGGGGAGGAGCGCTTTCCTTCAGCTTCGGCTGATCCATCAGCTGTGTCCCTTCCTGGAGAACGACTGCCTGGCGACAGTAACACACGCGTTGGTAACTTCCCGATTAGATTTCTGTAACGCGCTCTACTTGGGGCTACCCTTGAAGATGATCCGGATACTTCAGTTGGTGCAGAATAGAGTTGCCAGGCTGCTGACGGGGACTGGGTGTTGTTCTCATATAACCCCAGTTCTCCGTCGGCTCCACTGGCTCCCGAATGAAGTCCGGACCCAATTCAAGGTGTTGGTTATGACCTATAAAGCCCTCAATGGCTTGGAACCTGGATATCTAAAGGAACGCTTGCGTCCATATATGCCTTCCCGCCCCTTGAGATCAGCAACAGATGCCCTTCTCTGGGAACCCTCTGTGAAGGATATTACGAAGGTGAGTACCCAGAGGAGGGCTTTCTCTGCAGTGGCGCCCCATCTATGGAATGCACTCCCCAGAGAGGTCTGCCTGGCACCGTCGTTATTTGTTTTTCAGCGCCAGGCTAAGACCTTTTTATTTAAAACTTATTTTAATTGTTAATTTATTGGTAATTATAGAATTTTAAATCTTTTAAGCTGAGATGCACCGGGTTTTAATATTTTTGTTGTATAATTGTTATACTTGTATATTTTGTTTTTGTTGTGAGCCGCCCCGAGGCTTTGTTGTGATGGGGGCGGCATAAAAATGGTTTAAATAAATAAATAAATAAATAATATTCAAATGCTGCCACTAGGAAAAAGGGCCAGGGTGATGATGACGTGATCTAAGTTAAAAACAAACAAACAAACAAACAAAAAGGCAGGGGAAAGGGAGGGCCTGACATGAAACGTACACTCTTCCTGCATTTGGCTGCGTAGGGCTTAGCTCCTTGTTGTGCCGCTTGCCAATAAAGTAAGTGGGAAGTTCAATTACAGAGGGATGGATATGCTAAGTTTCTGGTAAGTGCTGTTACAGGAGTTGCTGGTGGGGGCAGAACTGGCCCTTCCACAAAGTAAGATGAGGTGACTGCCTTTAGTGGCAGATTTTGGACACTGTTAAGCAAACAGAATGGCAGACAAATGCAACTGACCTGGGGAGTATAATCTCCTGTGATATTCTCATGTGTAGGCCCTGTGAAATACCAGGTTCTTGGAGAACTTTCCATTCACCTCACTGAAGTTTATGTGGGGGAATATCCCAGTTGATTCATAGGCCTTGTGTTAATGCAGGGGTAGGCAACTTGCTGCTCTTGACCGGTATTTCCAGACCTCTCTGCAAGTGATCAGCTGAGAGCTCTAGCAAGAATATTATGTTCCTCTCTAGGCAAAGGGCTGCAGAAAGAGAGCAGAGGAAGACATAAAAGTCTGACTGCTTTGGGCTTTCGTCCTCTTACTACTGGCTTTGGCTTTGTCCACTGCTGGCTTGCAATCCTGGACAGAATGTAGTCCTTGACTGAAAAAAGGGGTCCCCCCCAAGTAGAAGGGGGACCACCAGTTGGCTTTTATGCTCTGATGAAATGAGCTAGTCATCACATGTGATCTTGTGTAACAGTTGGTGCCAGTGATAATTTTCATGTTCACATTTTACAAAATAAGGGGGAACAAAAGATTGGGATTTAACAATGTGATTTCTTACACATTGGCTTGGCTTAACCACTGCATGGAGAAAAAGTGCCTGGCTCCTTGGCAACTAATGAATATTTTGTTAATATACTTAGCCACCTTTGTATTCTGCAAGAGGTTGGGTTGCATAGACTCTAAAGGAGAGCCAGCCAGTGTGTTGTGATGGTTACAGCATTGGACATGGACCTGGGGATCTGGATTCTAGTCTCCACTCATTCAGGAAGCTCACTGGGTAACTTTGGATCAGTCACTCACTCAGCCTAACCTGCCTCACAAGCTATTTTATGAGGATAAAATGGAATGGAGAATGTCTATATAAGCCCCCTTGGATTTCTCACAAGAAGGAAAAAAATAGGATATAAATATAATTATATTTTCTTGGGAGGGAAATAATCTGGAGGGTTGAATAACGAGAAAGCACTGTAAGTGAGTAGATTTACCTGTGTTGAGAAAAGATGCTGACCAATGGTAGAAGACTGTCTAAGTCCTAGACTCTAGGAAGAGGTATATATACAAATTCCATGTCACATCCTGTTGAAGCCTAGCTCCTATTCAGCTCTGTTGTCGGGATCCTTGGGTTCTCCTTGGTTTTACCAAAGACTGCAAAATAAATGGAGCTTCGTGTTTTAAAATTGGCAGATAACCAGGACAAATTGAATTGTATACATGTTGAACTCACAGGCTTTGCTAAATCCATCTTGTTGTACCTGCTATGCAGATATATGTGGGTGTATATTGGAATGATAATCCCAGATAGTAAGCTGATTAGGGGGTTGAGACATGATTTCTTACTCTTTCTCTTCCTAGGGCAAAATATTTCAAGGGGAAGAAACTTCATGGAGAGATGGACATCAAAGTTGAGCAAGTGAGTCTATATCAGACTTTGGGACTTGAATAAATAACCTAATGGGTTGAGACTGGAATACAGATGGGTGCCCATCAGGCCATAGCACCTTTGGGTAGCTCTGGAGCCCTGGAGTAATGGCAGGGCCTACAGCTGATGCCTTCTGTGAGCCCCTTTCTTTCTGCTCTGATCAGCACTGGACAGTGGGGTCTGGGGACTGGCAGTTCTCTTGTTGTCTGCAATGAAACTCTGTGGCATTGTGAGAAGCATCAAATGCTTACTTTTAGCCGCCTGGTGCTGATTTAGAATGCTGCTGCCAGGTAAGCCTACTGGGGCTACCATAAACCAAAAGAAAGAATAATTCTTAATTAGATGTTTAGTCACCAAATCCTGAGTTAAGGGGAAGAAATAAATGATTCTCTTTGAGTATCTTTAATAAAGCATATAACACTAAATGCAGTGAGGAAAACACAATGAAGCATGACCTTAAAGCCATTACAAATTTGGCCATATGCGTTTTGACATAGTCTGATAAAGATGCACTTGGCTCATTGCATTTGGCATTGTTATATGTTGAATTAATGCAGTACAGAATCCTTTTTATCTTCTGCGTAACTCAGGATTTGGTGAACCTGAGCCCCTACCATGCCTCTTCTGATCTAGGAGGGCACCTACCAGAGGACATTCTGCTGAGGATGTCCTCAAACGTGGCTTAAATTTTGCAGTATGTTGCCCCTTACTTAAGGGTGAGTCAGCACATACCACAGCAAGACTTGTCATGGTGGACATTTCAGATAGAGGACTTGTAACTCTACCAGTTAAAAGGCCTTGTGCAACTATTTCATTCCTAGAAAACTTTTTGTATGATGCAAAAGCAAAGAAGTGATGGGAAAACACAGAAGCGTAACAATTGGAAGGTGTCATCATATGGACCCCTATAACATTCTATGAATGTCTCAGGGCAGTAGTGTCATAAAGGCTTTGTCTGGAAATACCCTGTGTCTGTACCCTGTGTCTGAACCTTGCACATGCAAATAATGCTTGCAAAAGGAAATTGTATCTGTGGAGGAGAACCTGGCCTCATGATAACCCCTTCAGCAATGGGGAAAGTTCCATTACTTCCCTGTGACACGTGGCTGAATCCAGGGCAAAGTCCTGAGGTGGTTTTTGCGGTTGAGGTGCTGGGGCAAACCCCTGCGTGAGTCAGGAAGTGGATTCTGGGGAACTCTGAAAAAATGGATGCACCAACCACAGAGAGATCAGGAAATGAAACTCAGACAAAGCTAATGGCTTAGGTCAGCAATTTCCAAGTTTGTCTGGCTTCTGAGGTGTTTCCAGACAGTGGGCTCCTATGAACTGAAGCTGTTATACTTTTGGCACATCACAAAAAGACAGGATTCATTGGAGAAGACAATAATGTTAGGGAAAGTGGAAAGCAGAAGAAGAGGGGAAGACCGACTATGAGATGGATGGATTCCGTAAAGGAAGCCACAGCCTTGCGCTTACAAGAGCTGAGCAGGACTGTGAAGGACAGGACATTTTGGAGGGCTTTCACTCATGTGTAAGTCAGAAACAAGTTGATGGCACATAACAATAAACTGCCATCAATTAGAAGAGGGTTTTTTTCTTTTTTTTTGATGGGTTTCATTTTTTTCTCCATAATGGTTTTCTTCAGTAAGAGAAAGGTAGAAGCAGCTGTGGGGAAAATATGGGATGCCAAGGTAGCTTATTTTCCTCTTGTGACTATACAAAGCTGCCCAGTGTTGTCTGGAGCCCCTCTAAAATTCTTTGAAGACTGGGTGATGGAGCAATAAAAACATTGTTTGGAAGCACCTCAAGAATTATTTCCATATTCATATGCCTTTTCAAAAATATATGTTATTCATATAAAAATATGTGTACAATTTGATTGGACATACCCAAAATAAGTATACTCATATAATGGAAAGCAGACCTGTATAAACCCATGTAACAAAATTGAACAGTTATGATACCCAGATCAAATAGTAATGGGGTAGACAGCTTGATGACCTACATCTCCCAATATGGTGAATCTCTTTAGGACAAGTGAAAGGTAATTAACAGTCTGTCTTCAGACTTTGCAGATTGCATGGTACTTAATGGGCAAGTTTATATGTCTGTGAATAATCCATGGTGCACTCTTTGTTTGCTGAACAACCCACAGTATTCCTGAGAGAGGATAGTGCTCACCATGGGTACTTCTCCCCGTTCCTTTCTCCTCAGTCCTGCAACAGGCTGTGGCATGCACCCAGTGTCCATTCTAGCAGAACCACTCTTGTCTGTCTCTTTCTACTGCAATAGCTACCCCTTGTTGTTCATTGTTAATTTTTTAAACCCTTTACAAAGTCTCAGAGCAATGTGTTTGAGGTCTTATTTTTTAAAGGTAGTAACAGACCTCTGTAGGTGCATACATAGTATGTACTTTATGTCTTTCCAATATGTATTCTCTTGCCTGGTCAATTTCCTTGAGTGGTTCTGCTGACAAAGGGGAGGGCAAGGCTAGATTGCATATAGGTTAATTTGCTCAAAGTTGCCAGCTGTCCTTTGTCTATCCATCCTGCTTGTTTAAAAGTAGTGGTAAACAGGGAAAAGTAGTGGAAATTGGTGCACCAAAATGGTGGTGGCGGCAATATCACCTACTTAGGAATGTAATCCTCTTTATTTTAATTGTTGAACAGACAGTTCTCAGTGCCCTGTACCTTTCAGCAGTTAACAACTCTCCAGCTACTCCAGAAAGGAGAGATATTCCTCCCTACTACTTTTTATGGGACTGTTTTGGGAAACTTAATGTGGAAATATATGTAAATTTAAGGAGTGGGAAGGAAATGGAGAGAAAATTTGCACACCTATAGTAATTGCTTCAAAAGGCATGTTGCAGTTAATATTTTCCCTTCACACAACACTTTCATCAGCCCTTGCCAGCATAGGCAGTGGTAAGGGATGATGGTGACCACAATCATAACATCAAGAGGTACATATTTGCCCTATCACTGTCTTAGGAAATCAAAATGTTGCCTTAGATAGCATGTCCTTTGCTGATTTTGATAGATCTGGAATCTCAAATGATGATGATAATTACTTCGTGTCTCACTCTTCCTCTGTGGAATTCAGGTTAGTGTACCTGGAAGCTTACCTGCTGTTGATCTTCTCATTCTCCTCTGAAAGAAGGACCACAGGCTTTCTTGGAACATAGTTTGAAAACCGGCACATGGCACCTGTCTAGTTATCACCACTTTGTGTTCTCAGACAAGAAACTTGCTGCTTGGATTGCAGCATGCTTTTGGGTGTATCCCAATCCCTTGTGAGTTACCTTAAGCAGAGATGCAGAACCATTTTGGGATTGAAGGCTAAATTAAATTAAATCTTGGAAGGGCCTAGTGTGAGTAATCAGATAGGCTGGGGGTGAAAATGCAGTGGATTTCCATGATTTTGCCCCCTGGACTCTGATTTGTTTGCACTATGTTGGTGTTACCTCACTCTTGTGTGAATCAAGCCAAGTTGTGGATTTCCATTAAGATGGATTGTGCTTTGCACTTATTTTTTTTAACAATGAAGGACATTTGCACAAATCATACTATTTATGCTATTTGTACAAATCAGAAGCCAAAAGCAATGCATTTCTAGAGCTGTTTGCACAAATCACAATAGAACTATGTAGCTTCAGGTTTCCATTTTGTGCAAATACTGTGATTTTTAACATTTGTATAAATTTACACAAATTGTGTGCATTTATGCAGATTCTACAAATAGGGCAATTTGTGTGGATTTCTTTAGTTTTTTAAGATGTACACATTTTAGAAGGGGAACTCTGCAAAATATGCAGACTTGGCCCACTTTTGCTTATTAGAATGGACGCAGGCAGGAGTGAGTCAGATGCTCCACTGTCAGCAGTCCCAAGCTCAGCAGAGTCTGTGTTATGGTACAAAAATGCTTACCCCATGTGGCTTTGTCTTGGTGTCTCCCAGGCAGAGTTCTCTGATCTCAATCTGGTGGCTCATGCCAGTGGCAACTTCTCTGTTGATATGGAGGTTATGCGCAATGGTGTCAAGGTAGTCAGGTGAGTAGCAACCTTTGTATGTTGGCTGTTCATTATGTTTGCTTTCATCAGGCATAGGTGTTCCCTTCATTTATGTAGCAGTGGTCCATGAGCTGGCAGGACTAGTGGTGAATAGGGTGGCACTGATGGAACCAGAGTGCACAGGTGCACAGGTGCAGACACATACATGCTTACTCCCATGTTTTAAGGTTTTATGTGTCATTGTCTTGCTTTTCTTTTTATTCTGGACATTGCCTTGAAGTCCTGTTAGGATGCCCCTCCTTCCGACTTTACAGATGACAAGAGGTGATCTGGATTGAAATGATAGATCAAAGGATCCAAATCCCCCTATATTACATATTAGAGTTCTGGTCTATATCATTCGCTAAAGCCCCAGTGCCAGCAATTGACCTTAATAAAAAGGAAAAGAGAAGGCAGTCACAAATGTGTTGATTGTAAGCCAACTTTCTTTCTCTCTCCCCCACCCTCCTTCCAACCTTCCCTTTACAAGTAGCTATTGGTTAGTACAGGGAGGTAAATTTTTCTGTCCCTCCTTGTTCTTCTTTTGCATGGCTCTTCTCCCAGGAGTCTGAAGCCTGACTTTGTGCTGATTCGGCAGCATGCCTTCAGTATGGCGCGTGGTGGAGACCATCGTGGCATTGTGATTGGGCTGCAATATGCAGGAGTGCCCAGCGTCAACACTCTTCACTCGGTGTACAACTTCTGTGACAAGCCATGGGTGGTGAGTGGCAAGAAACATGATTGGGGGAAATACAAAGTGGAGGACATGGGCTAATTTGCTAAGTCACTTGCAAAGAAACTCTCAATTCTGTGAGTTTTATACCCACCTTGAAGTCAAGGGGCTCCTCAGGGCATTGGACATTACAAAGGCACCAGGCCCTGACGGGTTACACCCGAAAGTACTTAGAGAGTGGACAGGGGTTCTCTCATGCCCTCTGGCCTCCATTTTTGAGGCCTTGTGGAGAACGGGTAAAGTTCCAGAGGACTGGAGGGTGGCATCAGTGGTCCCAATTTTCAAAAAGGATAGTAGAAAGGACATGAGGAATTATAGACCGGTTAGCCTTATGTCCATTTTAGGAAAAACAATGGAAAGGCTCATAATAGAGAGAGATCAAGTGATGCTAGATAGGGAAGGGAGGCTGGCAGCCACACAACATGGCTTCCACAAAAACAGGTCCTGCCAGAAAAACCTTGTGGAATTCTACGAAAAGGTTTCAAGATGGCTAGATGGAGGGGATGCAGTGGATGTGGTTTACCTGGATTTCAACAAGGCCTTTGACAAAGTGCCCCATGATATCCTGGTGGAGAAACTGAGGAGTTTTGGGATACACCAAAGCACTGTCCTATGGATTAGGGCATGGTTGACTGACCGAAAACAGAGGGTAACCATTAGTGGGGAATCATCAGGATGGTGGCCAGTGACAAGCGGAGTCCCCCAGGGCTCTGTCCTGGGGCCGATCCTGTTTAATCCTTTCATCAGTGACATAGAAGAAAGGGTGAACAGTCTGCTGATCAAATTCGCAGACGATACTTAAACTGGAGCAGTGGCCACAACTGAGGAGCAGGTACTCCAGATCCAAAAGGATCTGGACAGACTATGGAAGTGGGCAGGAGACAACAGGATGGCGTTCAATGTGGATAAGTGCAAGGTCTTGCACTTGGGGCATAGGAACGGGTGTCATACGTAAAGGTTAGGGGACAAGTGGCTGGAAAGCAGCACTTGTGAAAGGGACCTCAGGGTGCTGGTTGACTGCAGGCTAAACATGAGTCAGCAGTGTGATGCGGTGGGCAAGAGGGCGAATGCCACCCTTGGTTGCATAGCAAGAAGTGTGGCTTCTAGATCGAGAGAGGTATTACTACCACTCTTTACGACTCTGGTGCGCCCGCAACTGGAGTATTGCACTCAGTTTTGGGCCCCTCATTACAGAAAGGATTTAGCCAGGTTGGAGTCAGTGCAGCGTAGGGCCACAAGGTTGGTGGCCGATTTGCAGGGGATGCCGTATGAGGCGAGACTGAGGGAACTGGGTCTCTTCAGCCTGGAGAAGAGGAGACTCAGAGGGGATATGTTGGCGACATACAGGTATGTGAGGGGATGTCACACGGAGGTGGGTAGAGACCTGTTCTCCCCTGCAGAGGAAGTCAGGACGCGCTCCAATGGAGCAAAGCTCAGGGAACCAAGGTTCCATTTGGATGCCAGGAAGCACTTCCTGACAGTCAGGACCCCGAGGGTGTGGAATGGGCTTCCAGGAGAGGTCGTTGAGGCCCCATCAGTGCGGGTGTTCAAGGATAGGCTGGACATCCACATGGTGGGCATGTTGTGAGTGGAGCCAGCTGGAACCGGGGGTCAGACTAGATGGCCCGGGAGACCCCTTCTGACTCGCTATGTTTCTATGTTTATTCTATTTCTGTTTCTATGTTTATTCTATTCTATTTATTCTATTCTATGTTTATTCTATCTATTCTTAAATATTTTAAGCTACCCTTTTCTTGTGGATATCAGGATGATACCCTCCATGAGGTGGCTATTCCATAATGGGTGTCAGCATAGAGAAGGTCATAATAACATAGGAGGAACTGTATTGTATCAGACTAGGGGTCCATTTGTCCGGCAGTGTGTTTGCACAGTGGCTAATCCGTGAATGTAGGACACGAATCCCCTGCGGATTGTGTCTACTAGCACCTGATGCACCAAGGTATACTGCCTCTCATACTATAAGAGCATTGAGCCATCAGGACTAGTAGCCATTGTTAGCCTTATTAGCTATGAACTGAGTCCCTTTTCCCTCCTCTGGTATTAACTGCCAGGCAATCTGCTATGAAAATAAGGGCTTCTGTAGATTTTAAACTCCCAAAATGTTTAGGGGTTTAAAGGAGAGTGCTATCATCTTGAATTGGACTTGGTAGTAAAGAGACAGCCAGTGTAGCTGCTTCAGAATCAGTGTATTGTTTTCCTGCCTGGTTGTAGCAATCACAGTTCTGTCACCTGCATTCTTCAAGAGTGGAAGCTTCCAACTTATTGTTAAGGGTGGTCCCATGCTCAGTGCATTACATTAATCCACCTAGGAGGTTACCAGGACATGAACTGCTGAAGCCGGACTGTCCCTTGTCCAGGACTGTTGCAGCTGGCAAACCAGCTGAGGCAGGTAAAAGTCATGCTTGGTAGCTTGAGCTTCAAGCAACAAAGCTGGATCCAGGAGTGCTCCCAAGCCAGACAAGTTTTCTTTCAAGGAAAGTGCAGCCCCAGCAAGAACAGGATGCACAACCAGACGTGAGAATGCAATTCCCAGACGTGAGAACTACCTGCTTTTATTTTATTTATTTGTCATTATTAGGGTTTATAATAAAAGGCTTTATAAATAAATACAAGTAAATAATGGGCAATGGACAGTCAAGATGCTTGATGGGTTTCTCTGGAGAGGCTCTTCCCAAGTTCCATCAATGAAAACACTCCATTCCACATCTTAACAGAACCTGCTTCAAGAATGGATGAGAAATGGAGCAGAGCCTCACTGAGGGCCTGGGAAAACTTGAATGAGGGACAATGTTTTCTGAGGTATGATGGGCCTAAGTCTTTCAGAGCTTTAAAGGTAATTACCGCCATTTTGAATTGGGCTTTGGAGCTGATAGGGAACGGCAGCAGCTGCAAAAAAACGATAAAGGAAGAGGGCAATAGAAAGTTAGAATATAAGCTAATGAGAACAGGTCTCTTCCTTGTTCCCTCCTTTACCATGCTGTTCTTCCAACAGTTTGCCCAGATGGTCCGCCTGCATCGCAAACTTGGACCAGAAGAATTCCCACTCATTGACCAGACCTACTATCCCAATCACAAAGAGATGGTAAGTTGGGCTGGAGGGCTGAGGATACCTCCTTCCCTCCTATTTTTTACCAGAGTTTGCACCATCTGATTCATCTTGTAGTTTTGATGACCAAAGAAGCTCCTTGCCTACTTGAAGAGGGGTTATTGGGGGTTTAAATGCTATTGCATATTGTACATTTTGAATACTGAATTAAGTGACATGGGGTGAGATGCCACAGCTCTCAGATTCAAAGTATGTTGCCTCCCTTAATGGGCTCCCACAGGTACATGTTTCTGTTCAAGGTTGTGTCATGACAAGGCTATAGCTGTGTGTGGTGATACTGCAATTCAGATTTGGATTCAGTTTTCCAAGTCCTGGTTTGAACTCAGCATTCTGGAACTAGGAATGTGGGCAACAGCTTGAAGAACTGATGACTGAAGAGCCTACTCTGTTGATGAAGCAGGGCCACTAAGCAAGACCCCCAGTGCTTACAGGGGATCCTGCCAGTGCAGCCTCCCCATTGCAGAGGTCAACATTGTGCACCCCAGTTCAGATCAGAGTCGCAGTGGCTCAGAGTACCCATCGATCTGTTTTCCAGCTCTCTTCTGTTTTGCTAACTCTGTTTTGCTGGGTAGGAGGCCTCCTGGGTTATGGTTACACCTGGTGTAAGCAAGCTACTAAATTCTCTTGCATCTTCAAAGGCAGCTGTAGACACAGATTTTGTTGAGGCAGAGCTCTTCAGGCGTGAGAGAACTCAGGAGGTCCTATTACTGGCAATGCTATTTACAAGATTAAACCATTTTTTAAAGGTCATAAGAACAAATTTAAAATTCTTAGGTGGACTCCTTTGGCTGATGTAGCTGCCAAGCTATACCTGTATCTTTGGGTGAACACAGTAGAATCCTGAACTGAGTTTTAAACTGGTAGTCCTTAAGACCTTTTCAGACTTGGAAAACCTTTTGACCCCATCTTGCAACATGAACCCATTTAATTCATTTCAGCGTTTAAAGTATTTCTTGGTGTGATTGCTCTTCTTATTTGGGCTTTCAGTGCTCTTATTCTCTTTCTCATTATCACACGTTCTAAAGGTTTTGCTTTTGCTCTTTCCTTTTTAGCAACTGCTAGATCTTAATTTGCTCTCATCTAGTATCTAGTAATCAGCAAAATGCATTTGTGGGTGAATGCTCATATCTTCACGTCCACTCTTCCTTGTGTGTCCTTGCCTCTCCTGCATCCCTGTTTTCTTTAGATAATGAGCTTCAGGCAGGGAGTTTTACTTTAATCTCTCTGCATAGTGCCTAAAGTTTAGGCAAAGCAGGAAAAAGCCAAAGCAAGTGAATGCTGCAAAAGGTTGCTACTCTCTTTCTTCCTCAAGCTCAGCTCACACTCTCCAGGAAACACATTTTCCTAGAGCCCTGTAGCCTTACCACCACTGTTTTCTTCTGGCAGACTCTCTCAGTCCTGGTGTGCAGTTGGAGATGGAGGAGGGATTGAAAAAAATCTGTTAAGTTATCCATGAAGCATTCACTCACGAGTATTTCACTGCAAAAAGGGAGATTGTTTTAAAAACATTTCCTGTAGCTATTTTTTATTAACTAGAGATGTATTCTCGCAGAATAATCTAGTGTAGCCTGAAGCACAGCGAGTGATATGGGGGTTCCACTTGCCCTTCCTACTTTAAATGTCACCCTTGGTGAAAATTGAAGCTTATATGGAAGTTACTCCTTCCCACTTTTTATTCCAAATTTAATATATATGGCCATGTGCATTTATGTTATCTGATGTTACTAAGCAGTGAGGAGAAAGGCACTCTGCACATGTTTAGAACTATGGTGTTACATAACTGTTGCACATATTCTGTGTCTGAACACTGGCATTCAACACAGTCTATCTCTGGGGTATCTCGTATTAAGCCACACAAGCAGATTCTGAGCTGTGGTTGGGAGTCTTCTGCACAAAATACAGATGATGGGACACTTGGCAAAGAAGAAAGAGAACCAAGACAGGGGTCATGGTGGGAGGGACTTGGAAGTCCTTCCTGAATGAAAAAGACTCTTTCCCAGTTATTGAAAGCATGTTCTGCTCTAAGCCTCCTGCAGAAAATAAGCCACAAGTATTCTAGTTTTTCTCCAGAAAAATATCTAGAAGTCTGCTCTTAGCAAAAGCTCATATTTTCCAAATTCTGCAGAATTGTTGCATTCTGCTTTAGACACCATGCTACTGAATCCTCAGAAGCTGCACAAATCCTTTTAAGAAAGAAGAGAAAACAAGTTTCAAACTAGTGTTTATTAGAAAAGAGACAACCCAGATACAAGAGTTGATGGGGAAGTGGGTATTCATGGGGAGGAGCATCAGAGTCCATGAAGATGTCACTGCCTCAGGCGAGCCCTACGAAGGGACCCAGGTTCTTGGATGCTCAAGGACTGCCAGGTGCAGAGGCTAGGGCTTTCAGATTGGGACAGGCAAGCCAAACGTTTGGCCTGGAAGTCATCCCATATCCGGGATATGATCCCATCTGTCCACAGGCACTGATTGTTGGAGGAGACAAAGCATGGCATGGCAATGCAGGGCACAACCTATTGTAGAAAGAATGACAGAGATATTAGAAAAAAGTGAGAGAAGTTTCATTTCCTTCCCACCTCTGTTGATGTATCTGCTTTGCCATGCCCTAATTTGGGAAGAAACACTCATATGTGTTCGTGGAAAAGAGGTTTATTAAGAACATATATCATTGTTTACAGTTTTTTTAGATGACATCATTGTTGTCCATGTTAACTTGTAGTTTCTGAGAGCAGTTCCCCAGGTTTCTTTAGAGCAGGGAAAGTGAGATACTATTGTTGAAAGTGAAAGAAAATGTATTTTCCTGCCAGCTAATTCCATTATTCTGCTATTGTACAGTGCCACTTAGAGGTTATATAACAAAAAAGCAGGACAGGAAGAATGTATGTAGAGTTTTCATCTCAAAAGTGGAAGTAGATGCATCAGATTAACAGCCTTGTTGTAAAAAAGTTATAGAAGTACTGTTGTACACTGAAGCCTCAGTAAAAAAAGCATAGTGCCACAAAGATTTCAGGTCTAATATTTAGCAGGAGACACATTTTAACTTGAAAGACTAAAGTGATACTGACTACGCTCCTTTGTTCACTCCATCATGATCCAAGGCATCAGCAAAGAGTGCTTTACCCACTCCTTTCCCATCTGAAACTGCAGATGGTTTTGACAGTACTACCCCATTCATTATTGTTCACTTCAGCTGCTTGCTTTGTTTCTCTGTGTCTTGGAAGTTAACAGAGATTGGCACATACTGAACTTCCATAGATTCAACAAATGGCTGGCACTACCCTGGCACCTGGATTTCTTTTAGCTCTTCTTTTTTTCAGTTATTGAGGTATTATGCACAACCCCACAAAAGCTGCTCATCTGCAAAATGTTTGACTAGCCTGCACAGAGGCTATGAGCCAGTGTTTCCAAGGTGGCTACAGATGACTGCCCCTCCCTCTGCTGCTGCTTCTGTTAAGCAGGCTCTTGGGAGACCACATTCCCTTCCTGCACAGCCATCAGGTAAACCAAGTGAAACCATGAAGGGGAAATGGAGGAAGCAGTCCCTCCTCCACCAGCCCACTTACATGTGTGGAATTCCTGGTTGCTGGTCACTGCCAAGTAAGTTGCTGAATACAAGGCTAGCTTGCTGTGTCACTCCTAGGACAAAGCCATCAGTAAGGAACTGCATCTTTTATTAGGCTGTTTTCAGCCAATGTAGTATTGCAGTGACTTTCTAACTCTCTGTATGGTTGAGTAGGCAGATGATGCTTTTTGGTGTGAGTATTGTCCCCTCCCCTTGCTGATCTTCCTGCAAACAGAAGATCTTTTAACTGCTGTTGGATCCCTGTCACAGCACATCTCCTAGGGCTTCTCTACACGAGGCATTTATTGTGCTCTCGTGATCCTTCACTCACGGAAGTTTGCGAGGCCTTTTCGCGACGTCATCCTCATCCAGTGGTTGTGCCGCACCTTTTAGCAGTTTCTCCTGTCATTGCTCTGAACAGGGAAAATGTATTATTTTTACTTTTGCTGTGAACGCAACACCAAATGCTGGTGTACTTTTGCCAAAGCAGTGTGTTCTGCTATCCTGTGGGAGGTTGGGGGTGTGGTTGTGATGTCAGCACTGATGAGCCAGTGGAAGTGTTCCTCCATCTTGCCTCATTTTGCCCAGCTGCTCCATGTGTTTGCAGTAGGCTAAATGTTCTTGGCTTTTCCTCTGCCCCCTTTTTCTTTCTGCAAGGCTGGTTCCATTGCAGCAAAGGGGTGTGTGTATATTTGTGGTGGCAAGAGAAAGTGCTCAATGTGCTGGGCATTTGGAGTGAAAGGAGCAGGGAAGCAGGTGGGTGTGAGAAAGGATGCAAGGGCATTTAAGGGGCTTGACCAAGCCCAACTGGGAGTCACTTCAGTTCATTTCCCCCCACAGATCCAAAACTTTTCTCTCTCTTCCCCTTTCCCTGATTTGCAAATGGCCCTGCCTCTCCCTTCTGAAACAATAAAGTTTTCAGTCTCTTTTTAAGCCTTCCAGATTGCTTCCTGTGTCCTCTCACTGAAGAAACAATTAGCTGAAGTGCATGTGTACCCTGAATTAAATTAGGTTATCTTCAGTGGCCTTACAAGTAAATCATATTGACTTCAGCAGAACTAACTGCTAAAGAAAGACTGTGGGGGAGATGACTGTACTAGCGTGATTTTGGGTGGAGGGTATGTTAGTGGTAGCAAAAGATGCAATGAAAATACTCTCTTCCCTCCCCACCAATAAAGGTATATCTGGATAGGAATTTGCAGCTGAGAAATGGCACACTATTGAAGTACTGCCATAGTATTCTTATGTAATACCTCCCACACAAACACACGTACACACAGAGGAAAGAGCAGAGGAACTAATGAGGGAAACTGTTATGCTTTTCCAGGTTATCTGGTGGTTGTCTTACTTTCAAATGGAGGAAGGAGGGGAACCTGCACAGGAGCCCTTGCCTAGTAGGCTGCTGGGCTTGTTTTTGGGGAAGCACTGCACTTCCCCAAAAGGGAGTGGCTTCAGAATGATGAACTGTGATTTTACTGCTGTGCTTCTGCGGAGATGCGCTTGGGAAGCTTTGCCCACATGTGAAGAGTTTGAAAGTGCTTCCAGTGGCTCCAAAAAATGAGGGAGCCCCATGATGACACAGAGGATCAGCACAGTGCTGGAATAAAACCCTCATGAAGAGACACTTCTAGTGGCCTGATACTCACTGTGCAGTTGCAGCCCTTGCTGTACTCTGAACTCAGGCCTCGTTTCTGTGCAACAGAGAGCTGAGCCCATGGCTGGATGAAGGAGCAAGCTGTTATCATGACACGGTCGCCTTCTAACATCCCTGTTGGAGGTAAAAAGACAGCAGGAGATACGACAAGGCTGAAAATGGAGAAGAATGGCTTGTCCTTGAATAGAAGGAGAGGCCATAGCTTAGTGGAAGAGCACATGCTTTGCATCCAGGTGCCTCATTAGGAATGAGCAGGTGCCACCACCAGCCTTTGTTCACAATACTGGGTCACATGGTCCAATGGGCTGACTCAATGTCACATGATGTCTTAATGTTACTACCCAAAAACACATTCTGGGGCCATCTGTTATAGGTAATATTTCATTATTTGGGTTTACCCTGGTCAAAGGCTGGAAAGTAAATCTGTAATATTGCACATCTTCATGATCATGAGCAGGGCACTGTATACTCAGCCCTTACAGGGATGGTGAGGGAATCAGACTTCTGTGCTTAGGCACTGCACATTCTGTGCCAAGAAAGCTGAATTCAGTGACCTGAATTAATGGCACAAATTGAGTTATCTTGCATAAATTATTTGCATAGTGTGGACTGGCTTTTCTAGTCATGGCTGGAGGCACAAAGCCACATGGAATGCAGGCAACCCTCAAGTTACAAACATCTCAGTTATGAACTTAGGAATGAACTGCCCCATAGCCTATTAATTAAAAAAAATTACTGTGGAAAATTGTTGTCACTCTAGGGAGAGAGGAAGCCAGAGGGGCATCTCTGAAGTAAGGGGAGAGGAAGTGAAATGGGAGAGAGGGAGGCTTCTAAAGCATGCCCTTCTGCTCTGCCCATTCAGAGAGGGAAATCTCTCTGGGATTTCCGTGCTGCAAAGAGGAGGCATTAGTGAGTTTGGAGTGGGAGGTGGGCTTGAGATATTCACAATTTTTCCATTTTCAGTGGGGTCCTGTACCCCAATCCCCGTGAATATATAGGGCCAACTATACATGATCCAGCTTGCATACAAATTCAACTTAAAGGCAAATTTCTGTTTGTAACCCAGGGAGTGCTGTACTTATTTTCTGCCTATACATGTCTTATTTAGAAGCTCTTTCTGGCTTCTAAGACTTCATCAGACATCATCTGCACATTTTGAAACACATCTTTAAATCTGTAAGGCTACATGTGGAGGGCTTTGTCCAGTTCTGGCTACCGTGTTTTAAATATAATCCATTCCTTCAGTCATTTCAAACAGGTTTAGGTTTCATCTTGAGATCTTTCTTTTGAAAAGTCTCGCAGCTTGCCCTTAACCGTCTTGTACTGAGGTGTCCAGTGAGGTCTTGCTTAGCACTGACTTCCTTTTCTTAGCAAAGGGTGTTTCCAAGAGGGGGAGCTTTTGTGAGGCATACATCTGAACAGCCAGATTACACATGGGCTGATTGCTGGTCTCTGGGTGGATGGTCAGACAGACCATAAAGACTAGTGTGGACCTCCCAGCAGCTGGAGGTAAAGGCTGGCAACTTCAGCACTGAACTTGTAGGTTGACTGGTACTTCTTGCACGAAGTACTTTTTCCTCTCACTTTTTATTCTTATGCCAACCCAGCCTGAGCAAGTTTGATTTATAAATGTTGGCATCTGAGGTGGAAAAGCCAAAAGGTACCTTCCTCTGCTGCATGGTATGCATTTACCTAAATGGCCTAATGGAACTCCAGAGCTGCTTCCTAAAGCATTCACTTTATTCCAACTACATTGGGCCAGACCTGGCACTGGAGGAAACAGCCATTTTGCATGGGTCCTGGGAAAGTTTAGGTTTGCTGCACAGTTTGGTCAGAGAGTGTTTCTGCACAAGTGTAACATGCTCTTCTCTCACCACCAAGTGCTATTGCTGGTCTGCAAAATTCTAAGACTCCATTGCATGGCTTGCCCTTGTGGCAAATGTGTTCTTCCCTTGATTGTCTATGAGTGGAGCCGTCATCAGTCTTCTTTTAGACAACAGGCGCAACACTTGAAGTGAGTTTTAATTGCCTCAGATCTTTTTCAGCAATAGGTAGTGTTCCATACCTGTAATGATATATTCTTCTCCTTTGAGAGTACCCTTGTGTTCATATCCACAGACGCTTTCCATGGCAGGGGTGTAGAGGAATTGAACATCTTGCATATGTGCAGGAGCCTTGTATACCTGCAGAGAGATGGAGATGGATGGGAGATGTTGTTTACTGACCAGGAAGGGTTAGCATTGGGACAGGTTTGGGTCAGGGACTCTTAATATGATGGGAATTTCTAGCCAGTCCTAGCAGAAGCCATTACTGGCTTTTGCTGTCTCTGGACATGAGAAAGCCAAGTTCAGATCTCAGTTTTAACATGAATTCCTTGAACAAGTGGTCATCTCTTGGCTTCTGTTTTGTATCACCTATTCAGAATGGAAATAATTGATGCATGTTTGATTTAAATGTAAACCAGATAGGGAAAAAATGCACTGATTTAGGGAAAATGGGAATTTAATCACAAATGTAGATTAAAATAATGAAAAATGAAAAATTCCTGATTTTTGGATATGAGAGACATCCAGTATATTTTGTGCTATAAATATTTTCTTTGTAAATACAGATATAGAAGCTCGCAACATGCAGAATTATTTCTTTGCATTGAGGTATATTCATGTATATAAAAGAGAATTGGATAGAAAGATGGATCTTCTGCCAGTTCTTTCCTGGCTTCCAGCAGTCCCATCAATGGGAGCTTTAGAGAATGCCACTGGTGGATCTCCTCCTATGTTCCCCTGCTGTGGGAGGTACTTACCTTGGTGGTTTTGATCTCATGGCGCATCCACCACACAGGTTCTCCTATGGAGATGTTTACAAGCTCTTTGGTGACACCCACAAATTTGGCCTTGATCACTATGAAAAAAGGGGGGGGGGATTGTGAGTTACTTGACATTTTTCCAGCTCTCCACCATGACTGACATGCCTTTAGTGGAACCTTAGAAACTTAGGCTAAAATTTGACTTATAATTAAAAAAAAGAAAGAACTTTCAGACCTTATCATTTCAAAGAAAAATTTAACGCTGTGTGGGCATTCTGCTAAAGTCTTAGAAGGCATGGGATTTGTTTACTCTGTGTGCGAAATTACTTTGCATGTTCCGCTTCCCCTTCCAACCCTATCCCTTTTCTTTCCATCCTCCCACTCTGTATGAAGGGTCTTCTTCCTTCTTCAGCCAGTGAAAGAAGAACTGAAAATGTTAAACATAAAAATTTTGAATGAATGAAGTTGGGGCTTGAATGGTATAATATAAACCTAAAAAAAGAAATGAAAGAAAATACAAGATTTTTTTCAAATTAAAAGCAATGCTTTTAAAAAATTATTTTATTAAAATTATTGATTAAATTTATTTTAAAATTATTTTAATGGGTTAGTTTATTTAATTAATATAATTTAATTTGTTTTTTTTAAACAAGTTTTATTCTCAGTAAACCTAACACCAAAAAAAAAACACAAAAACTAAAAACAACATCAATCATCGGAAACATCGGACCTACTGGGTCAGCCCCCCACATTTTTTCTCTTCGTTAAATTATAAACATATTTAAATCTATGCAAAGCCCCATTTCTCTAGCCAATAATAAAAATAGTCCCAAGTTTGACAGAAGTCTGTATCTTCTTTCTCCTTTAATGACAAAGTCAATCTATCCATTTCTGCACAGTCCAAGATCTTTTTTAGAATCAGTTGGTCGGTAGGTGGCTCTTCACTCTTCCAGTGTTGGGCTAAGTATATATAATTTAATTTGAATGCTATTAAAAAGTAAACACCAAGGAGCCTAATAACAGTATCTGAATTTTCTACCACATATTTGAAAGTGATAGATTTTTGAAAAGTTTTAAAAGTTATTTTTAATTTTTTAAAGCTAAGTTCATATGTAGATGTCTTGATATGTAGCTGTCTAGATCAAAACCTTGAATATAAGCTGTACCATATAACACCATCAGAGGGCAGTAGTAGGTATGTTCACTTATTCAGTGCATGCCATTTCAGGTCTTTAACATGATTTTAGAGCACTTTAAGGGAGTGTTATTACGCCTAAGAATGGAAATACTTCCACAAATGGCTGGAAAGGATACAACTTCAGCATACCATACCATAATACATGAGCACATTTCCATTTTCACTGCCAATTTTTTGTTATATCTTTTGGCCTAGACTTCTGTGCCATTAATAGCAACCTGGCCTGGAGAAATCTAGTAAGGAAAGTTTTTCCCAGCATAGAGATTAAAGGCTAAAATCTTACACCCATTTACCTGGGAGTAAGTCCTGTTGGAATTTACTTGGAGTAGACAAGCACAAGATTTCACTGTACACTAAGACTGTGGATAGTTCTTTGGTTGTGAGCATTCACATCTGACAAGAAAGTGGGAGCCAAACATGCAAACTACAGCAAACCCTTGGCAAAACCTGTTCCTGTATGTGTTGGTATTTAGTTGGCATTATGTTGTTAAAAAAACTCTTAAATAACAGGGTGTAGACATGCAGGTTGATATACGAAAGATGCAGGATGCCTAGGCTTGCCAATATACTGGCCCGCAAAAGTTTTCCACTGGTCTGTTTCCTTGCATGTGCCATTTGTGGCCTGGCTGTAGCCTAGCCTCCTTGGGGTTGTTTGCATATTATGCAGTTTGAATATGCAGGCAGTGGTGTGTGTGTAGCTTACTGTATTATGTGAACCTGGCAGCATGGATTGTTTGAGGGGGCAAATAACTACCCCCAAAATATCCTCATGCTGGATTCACATGATGTAGCAAACCATGGCAAGCAAGTGTGCCAGGCAAAAAGAGGTAGATGTGGACTCCTGACATGACCTGACAGATCCCTCATCTAATTTAAGTCACCATGGGCTGTTGTGTTTTGTGAACCTGATCAGAGACTCATTAAGTTGCAAAGGACCTCAAAGGTCAATCTCATCAACCCACCCCTGAGAGGGTGGCCATCTGCTACTGCAGCATTCCTGACATGAGGTCAGCTGGTTTCTGCTTAAAATCCTCTGGTGAAGGACAGTGGTTCACTTTTCATGGTGGACTATTTGAGTGTTGAACAACTTGTTTTGTCAGGAAGTTCTCCTTAGTGTTGAGTCAAAATCCCCTAAACGAACCAGTTGCTTCAGGCTCATCCTGTCCTCTTTTATTACATTGCATTTAGATCCTTTCTTTCTTCCTCTTGTGAGGAACCCAAGACAGTTTATGTAGCTCCATTTTTTCCTCATAACAATGACCCTGTGAGGTAGGTTGGGCTGAGAGTCTGTGCCTGGCCCCAAGGTCTGCCAGTGAGTTTCATGGCTGGTTCCCAGTCCAAAGCTCTAACTAGAACACTGCAGTGGCTCACATGCACACTGTGTAACTTGCTTCAACTGGGTGCCCTCAAGATGTTTCCAATTACAACTCCTAATTTTCCTGACTAATGGCCTTGCTGGCTGGAAATAATGGGAGTTGATGTCCAAAACAACTGGGTTGAATCTATTTGGGAAAGACTGAAAAACATGAAAGGACTATCCTTCTTCCTTTTCTCTTTTAACAACCCCTGCCCCACCACTTCAGAAATGTCAGTTCTGCTGTGCTTATTTTCAACATGCAACTGAGGCAGTGGCTATTTACAAGCATGCATGTAGTGATGTTATAGATACTGAGGGTAATAGGAAGGGGATATAGGGACTGGGAAAGGATCAGGTTTCAGGGGAGAAGTGGTGCCTGTGGGAGGTAGCATAGGAGACAGTAGGGCAGGAGAGAAAGTGCATTAACTGCAGCAAGACTCACCAATGTCAGCATTGCAGTATGCAGACTGGGGGTGTCTAGGAGCACAGGAGCAGGCCGTTGTGGGGTCCCCCAGCATCATGAGGAGGAGGAAGCTGGTTGCCAAGATTCCGTATACTTTAGCTGAGTCCATTTTTTTCCTTTGCAGAGAAGAGGAGGGAAAAAAATGACAGAAGTAACCTGAAAAGCAGAAATAAGATTTTCTGTCAGTAGAGAGATTTTAAGCAAGAAGATTCTGAGCATCAGCTGCAAAATAGGGAATTCATTGACTCTGGGGGAGCAACTGATGACTGTTTCCAGCAGGGAGGGAGAGGGGAAAGGCTTTCTCCATTTCTAGCTGAACAAAGCTCTTTATGTCCTGGTTCGTTTGTTACTAGGATAGGACAGGATAAAGAAATGAAGGCTGAATGATGAGAAGAATTAACTCGGTAGGACAGTTCCCCACCCTCAGTGTAATTAGGATCCCTCACACCCCCATCTTGTCACTATTTCGGAAGGAGGGAACCTTAACAGGGCCTGGGGGAGCTAGAGGCTGAGGACCAGAGGCGAAGGGTAATAGGTCAATTACCTGGCCTAGCAAGAATTTTAAGTGTCAGGAGAAGAAGACAAAGGGAGTTAATGGAACTTAAGTTGGAGTTGAAACCTCTGTTGGGGCTTGGACTAGGGAGAGGTCTCCCCTACCACCCCAGCACAGGAAACAAGGTCTAGGTAGAGCTGTTTGCTGCGGAAGAGCCAGGCTTCATTTCTTCCTTACCTTGCTCTGAGTAGTTCTCTAGGCGTCTCCTGCCAGTCTAGGCTGCGGCTCTCAACCCTGTTGGCGGTATTTAAAGCTAATCCTGCTTCCCTCTCTGCTCCCCCTGCTTTTCCTGTCCCGATTGCCAAAGGGGCGTGACCAAGACAGCCTGTGGTTTCAGCCCTAGAGCCAGCCTTGCCAGGGCGGGGTGCTTCATTGCCTGATGATTCCAGCTTCAGAGGAGGGAAGGTGGGGGCAGTAGGAAGCCACTGATGCCTCTGAGTAAAGATTTGATGGCAAGAGTTGGATTACTCACTTCAAGAAAACTGATGGTGCGAGTTGTCTTCTAGGAGGGGTCAGTGTGTAGTTATGAGGGTGCCCACAGGGTGGCACCATAGAAGGCCCTGGCTCTATGCTTCAGGCTTTGGCATACAGAAGGCTGCATTTTTCTAGAACTCCTTGTTATTAAAGTGTGCTGTTCCTATACATGACAGTTCTGCAGCTAGAGTCTGCTCCCATAATCCTCCAACTATCTCTGTTTGCAACTATGTGCATGTCACTGAAACTGACACTGAATCACTAAGATGTCACTCACTTTATTGGACCAGCCTATGATTTTAAAGCAGTGCAAGCAGTGTAAGCTTTCTAGTGGCACAGAACTTCTCTGGTAAAATGAGTACTTAGAAGACAGATCATTCCATCTTTGAGTGACTCTGATTATTTAATTTGTTAAGCTTGATGAAGAAGGTTTTTTTTTTTAATGCAAAAGCTTGCTGCTTCTTGAAACTGTTAAGTTGCTTCAGGTGCAAAACGTCATCTCATCAATTAAATGTCTGGAAGCTTCATTCGTTCCCCGAACACAGTGCACCATACCATCTCTCTGCCTCTGTTGTACTTGTACCCTCTTCTTCTCTTGGTCTCAGGGTGGGCCTAAGACTCCCCACTACTACTAAGTTGGCATGTACATTTCATTCCTGTTTTCCAAGAAGAGCCCCACAACATGTGTTCAAAGTTACTAAGTGACATGTGCTTCTCTCTGTCAGGGTTTGAACACCCTTGCAGAATGCACAGAAAGTCTACAGAATGGATCCAGGGGAGTACTTTGAAGGGGCTCAGTGTGGGATGCAGCATAGCAGTTTTAATTAGTGACACACAAAGGCACACCCAGCCACATTTTGGGACCTGTCAAGAACTCGAGGAACTTGTTTTTGTCACTTGTCAGTTGGGTTCTGTGTTTGGCTGTCAGGATCACAAAGTTGAGCATGTTCTGCCATGGTGCATGTTAGGCTATCTTTCTACTAAAATATGGAAGATTTATACAGCTTTGGCTGGCTGGCTGGCTGTCTGGCTGTCTGGCTGGCTGTCTTTCTGTCCCTTCCGTCCTTCCTTCCTTCCTTCCTTCCTTCCTTCCTTCCTTCCTTCCTTCCTTCCTTGTAAGAAGCCTTTAGGATCCTTTTGGGATTGAAAGTGAGATACTAAGTGTTGTAATAAATAAAAATGAAATTGTGCTTTTACAGTTAACTCCAGCTTTATTTATTTATTTATTTATTATTAAAACATTTTTATGCCGCCCCATTCGCCGAAGCCTCGGGGCGGCTTACAAACACCCCAAATACAAACACTTTAGTCTCACCCCAAATAATGTTGTATGGCCATGTGTTTCTGTAGCCATGTTTCTGCTATTGCTGGCTCTGGGTTTATGTTGAGTCCAGCAGAACCATTACAGAGTGTCTCTTGTAATTGTGCACTGGTTGATGATTCAGGAGATGGGATTCTGGTCTTCATAGTTAGTCAGGAAATGCAACTCATAACATCAGTAAATGGCTAGGGTCACAGGGAAGATGTTCAGAGGCCACTTCAGAGCAATTTCTGTTCATATTTTTGTTCTGGATCTGAAGTTGTATATGCAAACCTTCTACCTTACCTGCTTTCTTGGTTTGGACTGGAACATCCAGTTTGAGGAAAATTAAACTGACAGCTCTGGGCTAATTATGCTTACAAAAGCTTCATTGGAACATGGAGGTGCTTCTACTCAAATGCTGAGGCACACTGCACTAGGAAAGGCTGTCCCACTTGCTAACCATGGTTAAGAATTTGGGATTTCCCTGAAGAATCTGGTATTACTTCCTCCTCCTCTGCTTTCTTTCATTTGCACAGTTAATTGGTTGCACTTATTTTAGAGGTTTGTCTAATCCTGGATAGTTCTAAATTAAGATTTATAAGAGGGAACTTTTGTGACATCCATAGTTACTCAAGAGTGAAGAGAGAGTCACTTTTTTGTACTTAGGGACATGCAGCTGTTATGTATTGCCTCCCATCTTATACAGCTGAATGCTGTTATTCATTGAACACAGGGCCCCTTTTTGGGGCTGGTTCAGATTTCACATCCAGGAAGCTTCTGAGCCATGGTTTGATCACTCCCAACACAGAATGTAGGGGATGAGACATTGACACCTGGGGACAAGGGCTAGGATTGTGGTCATTGTCAGAATAGCTTGGAGGCCTGCTCTGAAGAAAGCTCTCTCACCTATAGTAAATCTGTCCTGCTACTTCGGGCACAATGTGAAAAGACAAGACTCACTGGGAAAGACAATAATGCTAGGGACTGTTGAAGCCAGAAGAAGAGGAGGACCAACTATGAGATGAATTGAGCCCATCGAGGAAGCCACAGCCTTGAGTTTACAAGAGCTGAAGACAGGACATTTTGGAGGGCATTTATTCATAGGGTCACCATAAGTTGGTGCATGCAAGAACGATCAACTAAGCCCTTTGCTAAAAAAATTATCCAGGAATATTCTGGATTTTTTTCTCCTGGAAAAGATTCATAGAAGTTCAGATTCTCCAGAATCTGTGAAGGAATGTCTGCATTATGTTTTAGAGGCCATTGCTACAGAGCTTTCAGAACACCATCCTGCAGGCAATTGGAACTGATGTTTATTTGCAAAGACTACCCATCTAAAAGAGTGGATTGGGTGTGATTCACAGGGAGCAGGACCAATCCTGTCAGAGCTTATAAAAGATGTCATGGGCTCAGGTGATCCTTGTGAAGGGACAGAGGACCTTAGGGGATTGACTTTTTCCAGGAGAAGACGTTGAGCCTTCCCTTTGCGGCAGGTAAACCATGTCTTAGGCATGAGAGCCTCTCAATTCCATCCCATGGACATTCATTATCTGTGAGACAGAACAGGTATTGGAGAATGGAGGTTTGGCCTGCTGAAAAAAGCAGAGTTCAAAAGAGGAGAGATGACCTTCTCGTGCATCATACAGCATTACCTTTCCACATGGCTCAATATATCACCTATGCTTTGCCCTCATCTGGGGAGAAGCAAGCAGTGGCCTGGGGAGTTAAGGTAACCCCACAGTTGCTTCCCAGGTGGCTGTCCCAATCCATAGTCTCACAATATGCCCAAGCCAAAGAGCTCTTGATTATGCTGCCCATTCTGCAACACAGACATGTTGCCAGAGTTGCCGCACAGCTATTTTGTTCTCTGCATTAGCCCAGAGACGGGTGAGTGGGAGGAAGGAAGGAGCTGAGGTAGATGATAATGGGAGCTGCATTGCCAGGACCACTTTTTATGTTCAGATTTGAGAAGATGGTGTCAAAGAGCCTTTTGTCTTGGGTCACAGAAGAGTGAGGAAAGTGGTAGAGCTCTATTTTTTATTGGGACTGGCCTTTTACTTGGACCTCTTTTATGACTTGAACCTCTGCCTTGTGGCAATGCTTTAATCCTCTGCCTCCATGCCATCTGCACAATACATTGGTGCAGGATATGTAACCATCAGGTTTGCAGAGAGTGGGCTACACCCTTTACCTGGACAGGAGGGTCTCCGAGGTGAATGACTGGCTTAGGGGGTGGTGCCAGAAGGAACGCTTCGGGTTCCTCGACCACGGCACTCGGTTTCTTGCCAATGGACTTCTGGCAAGGGCCGGGTTACACCTCACGAGGATGGGGAAAAGGTCCTTTGGAGGTGCTCTAGCAAGCTTCGTCCGGAAGACTTTAAACTGAGCCGGGGGGGGGGTCAGGCCCCCCAGAAATGTGTCTGCACTGGACAAGTGTGGGGAGAGGATCAGGGCTCTGTGACCAGGGTTTTAGAGGTACTGCAGGGACTGACAGGACTCCTACAGAGAGGGGCCAGGTATCAGGGAGGATGGGAGGAAGGAGGAGGCTGGGAACTCCAAGGAAAGGAAGTGGTGGGAAGGAGTTGAGGTGCATGTACACCAATGCTAGGAGCATGGGTAATAAGCAGGAAGAGCTTGAAGCTCTCCTGGGAATAGGAGAGTATGATCTGGTGGGAATCACAGAAACTTGGTGGAATGAAAGGCAAGTCTGGAATGTGAACATAGAAGGGTATCACCCTTTTAGAAAGGACAGGAAGGGAAAGAGAGGTGGGGGCGTGGCTTTATACGTCAGGGAAGGGATAGGATGCAGTGAGATAGAATGCAGCACAGATGGGGATTCGGTAGAGGCAGTCTGGGTGAAACTTAGGGAAAGAGACCTGACAGTGGGGGTAGGTTATTGCCCTCCAGGTCAACTTGAGACCCTGGATGACGTCCTGACAGGCCAGATTCTAAGGATATCTCGGGGGAGAGACACAGTAATTATGGGAGATCTCCTGGATCTAATATCTTCCGGATATTAGCTGGGAGACTCACTCAGCGGTGACATCCAGGTCACATCGCTTCTTAGAAGCTATAGAGGGAGGGTTTTTCACACAGAGGGTTCAAGAGGCGACGAGGGGGGGAAACATTCTTGACTTGGTCTTGACCAATAGGGAGGAGCTGATAGATGAAGTACAGATTAGGGGAGCTCTGGATGCGAGTGATCACTCCATCCTTTGCTTTGAGATCAGGGGACTGGGGACGTGCAGCAGGTCGAGCACTAGAAGCTGGGACTTCAAGAGGGCCAACTTTGGCCAACTGAAGGCCAGACTGGGGAAAGTCTCCTGGCATAGGTTACTGGAAGGTAAGCAAGTTGAAGAGGGGTGGATGTCACTCAAAAGGGAGGTTTTGGAGGTGCAAGCCTTGACAATACCTCTAGTCAGTAAGGTGGGGAGACGGAGGAGAGTGCTGCCATGGATGTGAAAGGAGGTGGATAGAGGGATTAGATGAAAAAGGAACCTCTGTAGGAAATGGGTACTG